GTTGTGTAAAACAACACCCTTTTTACCTCCTCAAAAACAGCTCTGTTCACAGCGACCCATTTAATCCCATGTCTCTTAAAATGATAATGAGCAACTGCTCATCCCACCCCTCTCTTCCGTGGGGCATGTCGACAAGTGCTGCCATGGCAGACAGTATGGGACAATATGGCCGAGGGCGGAAATATGCTAATACGGGACTGTTCGTCAGTGGTCGTGGGCGGAGCATGAGCAATATGACATCATATTGCCCAGAAACGGCTTGATTATTGAGTTATTAGGCTTTTTGAGGATTAAAAAAAAATTAGTGAATGGATTTTTTTTCATTGTATGGTGGTTGTGTCCACACACCGCAAAGACATATGCAAACACCATATTAAAGTGAATTTTGCATCTGATGACCACTTTAATTGTTGGTTTGTATGCTTGCATGTATATTCCCATTTATTTGTCTCATAATGCAAACATGTTCTGCACCATTTTTTTATTATGTCAAAATTTAGCTAATATCCTTACTTATCACGTACAAAGGGGATTAAGCAGGTATCATTCTTACATTCTTATATTATAATTCTCTAACAAGAACAATATCTCCAGTAGCTCTTATAAGTATTTTTGTTTGGTTGTTTTGCTAGTCTGTCTGCGATTTCAAGTTAAGTCAATTAAGAATTACATTTCTGTCAAAAGCCATCAATCAACAATAATGTGTCTGTGATTAACTAAAAGACAGCACGTCCAGTCCAGATTCACTATTTTGCACACTAATCCAAGTTTGACCCGTTGCAGTACAACAAACAAACCACCAGATGTCACGAACACCCAATTATTGTTCTTCAGGGGGCAGAAATCGCTAAACTAAGTTTGCACAGCAGATGGCGTTACATCATCACTAAAATCACTGTTCATGTCCTACGTTAACTAGAGCAAACATTACACCCCTGTCAGTCAACTGCAAGGAAAAACAAATCTTTAAAAATGACAATGCTTATTCCTGTCACTACTACCTTGAAAGCTTCCGGACAAATCTTCACATTTTACAGCAGATCAATCTTTGCTTTAAAGGACGGGGAGCTGTCCAACCCGCTGTGGTGCTGAAATGTAATAAATTGCGCAGATTACCGACACAGTGATTTTTATACAATATATATATATATATATATATTAAACGATAAAAAAATGTTTGCTACTGTGTAAATAAATTGATGCTATTAGTATTTCCCCTGCAAATGTTATGTATTTCAGAAATGTTCGTTTTGTGTTTATACACAATGAGGTCCTTCATAAAAAGCCTGTGATCAAACATCCCATTTTAACATCGCATGATTTAAATGCATGGCAATTATTCAACGTAGGTGTATGGGGGTAGATTACACATTATGTGCGTAATTTTTCTTTTTCAACATTTTCTTTCTCCCTTTCTGTCGAACAGAAATCTAAAAACATATTTGAAATGAGAGGAATCACGGTCAAAGAATAATACAACTTGTCTAAAAAAAAGAAAAGAAACTAGCACAGAGCACTTTATTAGCATATAACTTTCCAAAGTCTGTTTATGAAAACAAACGAGAGCGTAGGCGGCGATCAATAACATCTCAGCGAGCGAGAGAGTGAGTGAGTTAGTTCTCACTGAGCAACTTAATACTTGCAGGCATCTTCCTCACAGTCAGCATATCTGCCGAGCTCGGTGACTTAAGGTTTGTGGTCCTAAGCAGTTATAGAAGCTCGCTCAATATTTAGAAGTTATAAAGCAAAGCACAACTTGGCGTTACTAGGTAGGGGCTTGACGTGTTAAATGAGCATAAAAGACCCAGCTGGTTGGGGAAGCACTTGAGGGGGTAGCAAACAGTGCGTCACATCCTTGGGAAAAAAGAGGAGCGATTCCAATGGAATCAACATGTAAGCGCATCTGCATTGGGTGGCATCAATAAGAAGACAGCTGAGGAGAAATCATGACATTGAGCTACAGGTGAATTCATCTATTCATGCTCATTCGGGCTCCGCGCGCCCAACTAAAATGCCAGTGTAAATAAGGGGAAAACAAGAAGGCGAATTTTTGACCTGACGCTGATTTTTTGACTTGGCGTCCTCAACCGAATACGATGAAACAACACTGCATGACAGCAGTCGAGAGGGAGGAAATGCACGCGCAACGAAGGACTGCAAGGTAAAGCAGGAAAAGTTGGTCCGCGCGCCGAGGCTTCACTATTCAAGGAGTGTTGGACAACCCAATGTGCGAGGACTTTTTGTGGAAGAAAAGCACATTTTAGAAGAGAGTTAACAGTCGTTTGCTTAAACCAACCAAAGTGTGGATCATGGCTACGGAGGAATCGGGTGGCTTGGCGCAAACCGCCGCCGTTAAACTGTCAGAGATGGGGGAAAAAACTAAACAGTTAGGAACGGCGATCCAGGACCCCGAGCGACAAAGAAGGATTATTCTAGTCATTGTATGTGTGGCACTTCTGCTAGACAATATGCTTTATATGGTCATCGTGCCAATTGTGCCAGATTATCTAGCGCGCTTAGAGAGCGAATCAGAGAAGGCGCATGTAACGGGTAATTCTTCAATCAACAGCACGCAAAACGAGAACTTTGACTTGCAGATCGGCGTACTTTTCGCCTCAAAAGCCATTCTGCAGCTCCTTGTCAATCCCTTGACCGGAACTTTCATAGACCGAGTCGGCTATGACATCCCACTTTTAATTGGACTCAGTATCATGTTTGTCTCGACATGCATTTTTGCCTTCGCAGAGAACTACGCGACTCTGTTCTTCGCGCGCAGTCTGCAAGGGCTCGGCTCGGCGTTCGCAGACACTTCAGGAATTGCCATGATCGCAGACAAGTACACGGAGGAGCCAGAGAGAAGTCGCGCGCTGGGCATTGCCCTCGCGTTCATCTCGTTCGGAAGCCTGGCGGCGCCCCCGTTCGGAGGGGTACTGTACGAGTTCGCAGGCAAACGCGTCCCGTTCATTGTGCTCGCCTGTATATGTTTGGCAGATGGTATACTATGCCTGACTGTCCTCAAGCCCTTTTCCAGTAGGACTAGAGAGAATATGCCGATTGGCACCCCGATTTACAAACTAATGATTGATCCCTACATAGCAGTTGTGGCAGGAGCTTTGACCACATGTAACATCCCCCTTGCTTTTCTGGAGCCCACCATAGCTAACTGGATGGAGGGGACAATGGATTCATCCCAGTGGGAGATTGGGCTCACCTGGCTACCTGCCTTTTTCCCTCACATTTTAGGTGTTTATATGACTGTCAAGCTGGCAGCACAGTATCCACACTTGCAGTGGTTCTATGGGGCACTTGGCATGGTTATCATTGGTGCTAGCTCTTGTATTGTGCCGGCTTGCAAAAACTTCGAGCAGCTGATAATCCCCCTGTGTGGCATTTGTTTCGGTATTGCACTGGTAGACACAGCTTTATTACCCACACTTGCTTTTCTCGTAGATGTCCGTCACGTGTCTGTGTATGGTAGTGTATACGCAATTGCAGACATCTCCTACTGTGTTGCCTACGCGCTGGGCCCCATCGTGGCCGGTAAAATAGTGCACGATCTAGGGTTTGTGCAACTCAATCTGGGCATGGGTCTGGCGAACGTACTTTACGCACCAGCCCTGATTTTCCTGCGCAACGTGTGCTTTATGAAACCATCTCACTCTGAGAGAAACATGTTACTGGAGGAGGGAGCCACAGGTCTGTACGACACGATTAAGATGGAGGAACGCCAAAGAAAGAAGCACGGCTACAGTTCAGCCGGTAACTGTGTGCCCATCGACGAGAACGGGACATTTGCTGGACAATCAAAGTCATTCTCTGAAGAAGAGACGTCTGAGCTAGAATACATATAGTTTGAGTCGTCTATCCTTGGTCATCTGTTACAATCCTGTTAAAACCTCTGCTGAATATAAATGTTTTTCATTCACTCATTTACATGTTACTCATTGTCCCGAGGAAAACTATTGGTGAACTGCATACAATCTGCATAAATAATTTAGGCAACTCAATTTACTGAAATAATGAGCTCAATATTTTTTTCTTCAATATAAGAAATGTAAAATATATATTTCACTGTTTAGTATTCCGCTGTATTAAGTTTATTATTCAGGGATATAAATATGGTGCAAACATATTACATATGAAGACGCGTGTTAACGTATTAAATGGGCCTTCGTTGAAGTTATTCCGCCGAATTTGTGCTGTTACAAATAATATGCAAAATTTCACCTGACACCTTCATAGAAAAAATGATGGAAGCGGTGTGAATCCTGCCTTTTCAGTGTCTGTTTCAAGTATTAAATGTTTAGGGTGTATTTCTGGAATGCGTTACTGTATATTATGGAAAATAATGGTGTACATATGTGCATATCAAATGTACATAATTAAAAGAAAATCTGTGAAACGCCTTGTTGTGCGCCGTGTGTCTTTGACTGACTTTCATCATGCATCTACACGATCACGCTAAAGAGATACAGTTACATATCTACATCTAAATTTTAATTGATTTCGTTTTGGTTTAGGCAAAAAAATTATCACAAAAGACAATGATTCATTAGTGACAGAAAACAAAACGAAATATTCAAAATAAATGGAGGCAATACATTTGCGTATTTTTTTGTGCAGTAAAAAGCATCAAAGAGCAAAAAATACAACAAAGAAACGAAAATATACATATTCTGACATAACACGCATTAACAAGACATCATTATAGATATCTACTACACTGTATGTATGCTATAATTAAAAGGCTGTGTTTAAAAAAATAACTTTTCTGTCCATTCTTTCCACACCCAAAATTGATTCATAAATATAAAGCGATTAACCAAAATAGACGTGTATGGGGGTTTCTGTACACGATGCTTTTTGCAAAACAGACGTAAATCGAACCTATTTATTTAAAAGAAGAAGAAAAAACAATTGCTTATGGTGCAAGATGGTCTATAACAAGACTTTCCTCTTTTCGTTTTAATTAAAGTATCGAGCGCGTTCGCGTACGGACATTTTTTCTTCTGTGAGATTTGGAAAGGTGGCCATACATTTCTTTCAAGGACTTAACTTACAGTGAGTGTGAGGTGGGCTGGCAGATGCGGCATCGAGCGAATGGAGTTGAGTGGGAGGAGTCTGAGAAAGGTACCGCTCCTTCAGCATCTTTCCTGAGGAGCATCCTAAGAGGCTCCCGACTTGCAATGAATGGGACGCAAGCATGCAGCCTGAAACAAGTTAAGACACCATCAACGGCACTTTCCTCTTAATAAAACACGGCGGGACTATGGATCTGGATAAACCCGTTGAGACACCTGAGGAATCCATAAAGAGAAAGACATTTTGGTGAGTACTTTTTAAATGGACTTTTGAGAATGTAAGAACGTTTATGCTTACAGCCTCCTCCTCAAACAAGGACCAAATAGAGCTAAAAAGCTATAAAAAAATACTTTCTACTTAATTTAAATTCAAAATCTCGCTTCTATGTATTTAATATTAATTGTAATTAATTTTGAATAGTTTAAGGTTGCTAATAGCCTTGTCTAATCGATGTGGCTGATGATAAAAAAAACCCAGATAGCACAGTTTTTAGTTATTTTATGGATAGTTATATTTATAAAATGAAATTGAATACTATTTGCTATGCAAGCCGTCTCTCATTCCTGTATATCTGTTCCAGAGGGAACTGGGAAAAGTGTCAGTGGATTTTTATCTTTCTTCATTTAATTCTTCAACTTTGAGGATGCCGGTTTTGAAAAGGGAACAAGCAAGAGACGTGGGAGATGCAAGTGTAAGCAAAATACTAATCTTTTAACATTACAAACAGACATGGAAGTCTACAATATTGATAAAACATAAATTATCATGTTGTTTTATACATGCCATTATAGCAGAAGTGATCTTGTACACAGGGCAAAATCATTTAAATATAATACTTGTCAGGGATCACTTGGAGCATAAAAGATTTACTACTCTATCAAGGCTAATTAAACAAGAGACTCATTAGCTTGAGAACAAATACCATAAGATCTAGAAAACAAATGCTAGTTAAGCAGAAGCTGTCCCTGGCGCTAAAATATAAATGAATGAATCTCAATAAAGCTCTGATCTCTCTGATTTCAATTTAGGGCCTTCCGAAGCTCCCGGTGCCCCCTTTGCAGCAAACACTGGACACGTACCTGAAGTGCATGAGTCACCTCATACCAGAGGAGCAGTTCCGAAAGACCAAGGCTATTGTAGAGAAATTTGGAGCACCTGGTGGGATGGGAGAATTTCTTCAGAAAAAGCTAATGGAGAGAAGCGATCATAGGGCTAATTGGGTATGGACTGCACTGTCTGCTAAGAAAAAAGTGACTGCTGTAAACAACTTTGCTTTTAATGTGCAGGCACATTCTGTTAAATATTGTTTAAAAGTGATTTATTTGGTTTTTACTCTCTCTTGATCATTGTCTAAGGTGTATGACTACTGGCTCGAAGACATGTATTTGAGCAACAGATTAGCACTACCTGTCAACTCCAGTCCTGTTATGGTCTTTCCTAAGCAGAACTTCAAGGGTCAAAGTGACGTCCTCAGGTACAGGACTCTGGGGATACAGCAGAGGCGATTTTTATTCCTTTAAACTGAGACGACAACGAACTCACTGCATGCCATCATTGATATCAGTTTATTTAAATGGAAATGCAATGTCTACACAAGTTAAGGATACATGTAGGCTATACGCATTAGGATTGTGCAAAGCTGTCAGGTCTGTAAACTGCATGATCTCATCCGCTAACTAGCTCCATATGGCCGTGTAATCGAGGGGCTCATTAACTAAAATTTGATTTCTCATTCAGCATAGTTTAATCTACAGATTAGTAAGCGTGTAAACAAAGTGTTCCTCACCCTTACTTGATGTTGATTTCAGTCCTAAAATGGACGTCTGAGGGAAACAATATATATCATAATGGACATTGCTATTTTAGGCTTAACATATAGAAAACGTTATGTTTCCTATTGATTATTTCTACATTTTGTATTAAAAGATTAATATAAGTAGTTTCATAATGGTAAGTAAAAGTATAGAATTAGTCTTACTTAGAGAATATAAAATAAAAACCAATGATTTTGTTAAACCCAAATTGGATTAAGTGCTATTTTAAAACCTAATTAAAACAATCGCATTGCCACACACACACACACAAACACACACACACACACACACACACACACACACAGAAAACCCTTCAAAAGTATTAGGGTTGGTCAGATTTTATTTACTTTTTTTAAAGAAAATAATACTTTTATTCAGTTAGGATGCAATGATCAAAAGTCAAGTTTTATTGCATTTTTGATCAAGTAAATGCTGTCTTAGTGACCATAAGAGACTTCTTTACAAAAAAATATATATATTTATATAATATTTAAATAAACTCTTGTCTTGCATATTTGTTCTCAACAGATTTGCTGCCCATCTCATTTCTGGCGTATTAGAGTATAAATCTCTTATTGATGGGTAAGTTTTACTCCTTGTTTTCACATGTAATCACATTAACTTCTAGTATTGTGAACATGAATGTATGCTGCATTTGTTGCAGACGTGCTCTCCCTGTAGACTACGCTCGCGGGCAGCTGGCTGGGACGGCCCTGTGTATGGATCAGTACAACAAGGTCTTCACCTCCTACCGTCTGCCAGGGCCAAAAAGTGACACTTTAGTGGCTCAGAAGAGTATGGTTATGCCTGAGCCCGAACATATAATAGTGGCTTGTAAGAATCAGGTAGGAATTGCTTCACATGCACAGTAAAAAAAATAAGCTTAAAATTGTAAGTTTAGTCAACTTGAAATGTGAAATTGTACTAAGTGACAACTTGGATATTTGAGTTGACTAAACTTAAAATTTTAGGGAAGAACAAACACTTGCTTTTTTAAGGTAAAACAACCATTTTTTTTACAGTGTGGTACTAAATATAATTCTGCTGTTATGTTTCTTTTTTTATATGGTTATGCTTTTCTTTCTAATTATGTTAAAGTTTGATTCCAAAAGTCATAAGCAATCTGTAAAGACAAAGATTTGATGCTGTTTTCTGCCATACCATGCTATATATGTTATACATACCATGTTTGCAGTTTTTTGTTCTCGACGTGGTGATAAACTTTCGTCGACTGAATGAAAAAGACCTTTACACCCAGCTGGAGCGAATCAGAAAGATGGCAGACATTGAAGAGGAGCGTCTGCCTCCTATCGGTCTGCTCACATCAGATGGCAGAACACAGTGGGCTGAGGCTCGCAGCGTACTGATCAAAGGTCAGACATCATTTATCCTCAACTACACAAGCTGTATCTTTACTAGACCTGCAATTTGACATCCAAATATTAAGAAACAAAACAACTTGTGAGAGAGCTGCGTTTCCAGATAAACTCACTACAAAAAAAATCCCCTGATAAAACACGAAATTCCGTACAGGTTAATGGAATTCACACCAATATAAAATGTAATATTTCTCAATCGGGTGCAGATTCTACCAACAGGGACTCTCTAGACGTGATTGAACGCTGTCTGTGTCTGGTGTGTTTGGATGAGCCCTCTGGCATTGAGCTGACTGATACCAACCGAGCTTCGCTGATGCTCCACGGAGGGGGCACGGACAAAAACGGGGGCAACCGGTGGTACGACAAGCCCATGCAGGTAGAAAACCCACAGTTGGGTCTAAATTGACTAAGAAGATGAATTCTAAAATTAAACTACTGAAATGATTTCAGTTTGTGATAGGTGCAGATGGATGCTGCGGCGTTGTATGTGAACACTCCCCATTTGAGGGAATAGTGCTCGTGCAATGTACAGAGTATCTACTGAGATACATGTAAGCCAAATTATTATTTTATTTATAGAAATTCATTTCAAAGTAACTCTTTGATTATCCACAATGCACTGCTGGTCTGGCAAATTCAATGAATACATTCACTTCTGAAGGAATCTGTAATATCCGTTTGCTTATTCTCACTAGCACAGTAGTTGCATTCATGTATTTGCCAAAGACTCGGAACTCTAATGAGATGACTTGAGATATATGCACACACAGCTTGAGAATAGCAGCTAAGCTAGTGAAGACGCAATGTGATGGACTGTAAGACTGTTTCTCTCACAGGAGGGGAAGCCCTTCTAAGCTGGTGAGAGCGGCCAGCATGAGCGAGCTTCCTGCCCCCAGACGACTGCGCTGGAAATGCTCGCCAGATATCCAAGCATTCCTCACGACCTCAGCAGATAAATTACAGAAGTAAGTCAATAAAACAGGTGATACACCAGGGTAGTAAGTTCTATACTATCTATCTAACAGATACCATTCTGATTGCTTGCAATTGATTAATTACACTAAACTTTGTTTATTCTATTAAAGCTCCATCCAATTATACTCCACTGTAAAAAAGTTCCCGCCTTAAATTTAGTTAAGTACAATCAACTTGTCGTTTCAACTTAAATTACATTTACTTCAAAATTAGTTGAATCTTGTATAACTTATAAAAAGTTGAAAAGTGCTTAACTTATTTTGATGAGTTAAAGCAATGTAAAAATATGTTGTCATAACTTACTGATCATATCATTTTTTACAGTGTAGAAAATACCTCAAATTTAATTATTCCTGAGTATCACAGGCATTTTGAAAGTGATTTAGTTTATATAATTTCACTTATACATAAATCATTTCAAATAAAATTCAAATAGACAAATAAAAGGGTGTAAAATACAAGAGAAGTGTTAGCATCTTTTGAGTTTCTTATCGTTTAAAAGTATGGGGTCAGTAAGATTTTTAGTTTGAAAGGAATTAATGCATTTATTTAGGGTGCATTAAATTGATCGAAATTGACAGTATACATTTATAATGTTAGAAAGATTTCTATTTCAAATACAGTAAATGCTGTTCTTTTTTTTGTTGCTGCACTGTACGGTCTGAAAATGTTTACACGGAAATTTTAAGCAGCACATAGTTTTTTACATTGATAATAATAATTCTTGAAAACCAGCACCAAATCAGCATATTAGAATGATTTCAGAAGGATCCTGAGACAGAGACACTGACTGAAGACTGCATAATCGCCACTGAAAATTTAGCTTTGCCCTCACAGTAATAAATTAGAAAACTTTTTAATAATATTTAATTTAAGCATAAGAGACTTTCAAACTGTTAATTCCTACAGACTTGCGAAAAATCTGGACATGAATGTCAACCAATTCACTGGATATGGCAAAGAGTTTATCAAGAGACAGAAAATGAGCCCTGATGCTTATGTTCAAGTAGCCCTCCAGTTTGCATTTTACAGGTCAGTCTTCTCTATAATTGAAGATATATTAGTACTACTATAGAATGAAGATTTAGTTTTTTTAATCTTCTTTTGCATTCAGATGCCATGGACGTCTAGTGCCCACCTATGAAAGTGCATCAATACGTCGCTTTCAAGAGGGACGAGTTGACAACATTCGCTCCTCCACACCTGAGGCCTTAACATTTGTGAAAGCTATGGCCAATAGCTCCAAAATCACTGTATGCAATTTAGTTTGTTTACATTGCACTTCATTCAAACTGCCCTGCATTTCATGCAAATGGCAACTCATTTGTAGAAAATGCTGTGTGGATTGCCAAAACAGGAATAGCTTAGGAAGGAATAACAACCCTTGCTTCCTTTATTCATTTAGGATGCTGAGAAAATGGAGATGCTTAGGACTGCCATTAAAGCCCAAACCAATTATACAATTCTAGTAAGTGAAACGGACAGCTGAATTTGAATTACGCAATCTGTCAGTTAGTCATGACTCATGTTTAACTGTGATTATCAAACTGTGATTGTCATACTGTCTGCTCTCCAATAAAATATTGCTTTTCCACTATTTGGAAACAGGCAATCACTGGGATGGCAATAGACAATCACTTGCTAGGGCTGCGAGAGATTGCCAAGGAGCTAAAACTGGAAAAGCCAGAGCTGTTTTCTGATGCAACCTATGCCACCAGTATCCAGTTCATTCTCTCGACAAGCCAGGTTCACTTTGAAATAATGAGAGATAACCTAAAAATGGATGTGTTATTCATAGTGCCCATGCAGCTTCATATTAGCACTAGATACCCAAACTCTTTTGTTAAAAAAATTGCTTGTCTTTGCATAGGTTCCTACCACTGAGGAGATGTTCTGCTGCTATGGTCCTGTTGTCCCTAACGGCTATGGAGCCTGCTACAATCCTCAGATGGACCACATCATCTTCTGCGTGTCAAGCTTCCGTGACAGTGCTGAGACCTGCTCAGATTTGTTTGAGAAGACTCTTGAGGGATGCCTGAAGGAAATGCAAGATCTGTGCCGAAAATGCAACACTGAAGCTAAAGCAGCTGATTCCACAGAAAGGAGGGAGGGAACTCCCAAGGTAATGAAGAATGGAAACAAATCATAGCCAGAAACTACTATGTTTAAATCGCATGGAAGATGCAGGAAGTAACCACTGTGACTGTGCAAAGAGTGAACATTTCGGGAGAAAATCATAGTCTTAAAAATACAGCAAGGCTCATAGACTGATTTAGTGTATACTTTTGATATGCAAAAGAGTCAAAGTAGGCATTCCCCTTCTGGAATTTCCTCTATATTGCCAAATATTATGACCAACAGAAGTGGCATAGAGATTCTATGGAGATGTAGTCGCTTGAAAATAGTAACAAGTAGATCTATTTAGGTGTTTTGCATTATTTGGCCTATGAGAGTATACAGATTCAAAAAGCAGATGAAGCTCAGATTTACAGTAGCCCCTGCCTTCTAAATATGAACTAGCCGAGGTCGGTCTCTAAGAATCCTGCCCCGTTTTATAGTCTGTCTAAGGGCAAGCTCACACTACAGGACTGAATTGCTGTGGTGCTCACTTACACTAAAAGGTTTCTTGTCATCTGTCGTCGTCCTGACATAGTAGTGCACATAGTACATTACACAACACAACGTTCAAACTACAAGGCATTTTGTCAGACCAACAGCAAAATAAATTAATGTGAGAAATTTGCGCAAGTGATTACGAGAATTTCCTGTTTATACCATCGGCACTGTGATTGGCTGGATTAGTTCCAATTTGTAATTGCATTTCACACACTACAAGATCACGTGACGATAACATCAAACTGGTTTGAAAATAGCGTCTCGATCGGTTCGAGCTTATCTAGCACTGATTTGGCCGAGATCCAGGGGTTTTGTCGCAGACCTTGGAAATCTGCTTGCGACAGCAAATTCCAGCCAAAAGCCGTGTAGTGTGAGCTTGCCTTAAGAGTATATTATAGTTGTCAATATCAAAGGCAGCATTAAAGGGATAGTCCACCCAAAAATGAAAGTTCAGTAATCATTTACCCATCCTCACATTGTTCCTAATCTGTATTACCTTCCTTCTTCTGTGAAACACAAAAGAAGATATTTTGAAGAATGCCGCTTTTGCCCAAAACAACATTGACTTGGTGCTTGCCGTCGGAAACAGACTGGAGTTTTTAAAGTAGTTGCTTGAAATTCTCAATGATGCTGCCTTTGAGATCATGGACAGTAGGTCTGCTTGTTTAGTATGCATATACAAATGTATAGCCTATAGCTGTTTACAATCTATACCAGTTTTTTAATAATCATGTCAGAGTCACCATACCTTATGGTTAGTGATGCCGTCAAGATACAGTACTCTGAATGGCGACTCTGTGGAAAAGGACCAGAAGCTGCTATTTACCTTTATCTTTGAGTCTCACATACACATTTCAAAGTTTGTTTAATTTATTTCAAATCAAAGATCTATCTGTTAAAAAAAAAAAGAAAACTTATATCGCAAAGTCTATTTTGGGTCTGCAGTATACAAACAAAATGTCAGGACCAGGCATTATAATATATATGGTATTATAGCTTTAAAGTGTGCTGTGTTTTAAGTGTTATAAATTGAATTCTCAATGGGCCATATTCTGAAATGCAGTCTGAGCTCTTAAAAACAAGTCAGTGTGCATACATTTTTAAAGAATATCATCCATTACGAACAATGAACATTGTTATATGATTCTATTATGTGGGGTTGTCTTGATTTCCAATGCAATAATAGTAACAGGGATTTTTGATTTCCAACGCAATAGCAGGGACGAATAGATTATTACAGTGAAAAAAGCTTCTTTTTTAAGTACAATCATTGTAATCATTGACATTGTGCTTATGTTAAGTCTGAAAATGACACTGACACATGTTGCACAGTAGGTCTATACAGTATATGTAAACAAAAAGGAACAATATTTGATGTTTGTCTAATGTACACAGATAAAGACTAAGTGAAAATATGTTTTATATTGTGAAATTCCGTTAAACACTGTGTTTTTTAAATGTACGTAATTTGTATATCCTACGTGTTGAACCAGTCATGATAGTAAATGTAAAGTAGATGTAAAAAAAAAATACTAAAACAGTAATGCCTTGAGAAATGTATTTTAGCACTTTATAACTAGATCAAATATGTACTGTAGTAAAATAGCTACGCTGAAATTGACTAATAAACCACTCAATCATGTTATACTAGATTATATAGAGAATACTTATACTGCATATATAGAGAAATTATAGCCTTAGTATCGGTAATAAAATATGTTAGTTGCACATCTTGACCTTATGTTAAGCATGAAGAATACATGAGGATGAGGAAACATGAGGAATACAGAACATTAGGGAAACAGCAAATATGTGAAAGTGAAGATGTAACAGAATGTATTTTGTTAAACTGGTGGTGGAGTGCTTAAACTGTGATATTCTTTAACTCTGGGATATTTATTTTTCTATGTTAGAGTTCTAAAAAGACAAATGGTATATTTATCAATATCACTGTATTCTAATGATGCTATAAAATATACTAATCAAAACCAATGATGTGTGCACTGAGTATTTCATACCACCAACTACTTTTTTTACCACACCACAGCATAAAAAGTGTTCTACATTTCACATTACATTAAGACATGCAAACTGCCAAGTACATTAAAATTCATCATAGAAAGTGGTTGTATTCATAGAAACCTACAACTGTTGTGTTAAGACTAAACATTTCAGAATGTCACATCGGACTCCAAAGACAAACCTAAAATAACTTGTAATCTAATTCTGAAGAGGAACTAGATTATTTTTTAATAGAAGAACAATGCAATAATAATTTTGAGATTACCAATGGAAACAATATTGGGCTTAGGCCTATATAAAATGTAACACTTCAAACAAAAAGGAATAGCATTTAAAATATTGCTAAATTAAATTAAATATTTCTATATAACCAGCTTGATACACTAAACGCGTTTCACCCAATGATATCATAGTACTAAACTCACTTTTAACCCAGAGTAATGGAACGTTTCACACTTGTAATTTTGAAGCGGGGTTAGCGCCGCTTTTTACCCGGGGCTTATAAAACCCGGCAAAACCAACCCGATCTCACGGCAATTTGTACTTATTTTACGAGGTGGCTAATTCAATATCTTGATTGAATATAGAGTTTTGCTAAATCATACATAGGCCTATTTTACGATTTGCCAAATTGGTATGAATTCGTAAGAATGACCTTCCCCTGACCCCACCCCTAAACCTACCCATCTCTAGGGTTTAGACAAATCATAAGAATTGAGGTCTTATGAATTTGTATGAATTAGCCACCTCATACTCACTCGTACTAGTTGGTCCAGAGATAGTGTTGAAAACTTGTACAGTGTGAAACGGTGAGGTGATAGAATACAACCGAACCGACAACCACCGATTCGCACGCTTCATATTTACAGACTGTCACGGAAACACACATAAACAGTAGTTTTAGCATTTGAGGGGTATGAGGTTAAAATTGCTGCATTATTCCATATAAATAGATTGAGATTCACTAATAAATGTAAAGAGATTCACAAAAATGAATAAAATGCACAAATAAATAAAATGAGATCAAAATGAGTTTTATGCCACAAACACTCCATACCTGCCATTCATTTGTGAATAGCTTGTGCATTTGTAGATCCCTGCACACATTTGTGGATTTTAAAACACTTCTAGTGTCAAGACGTGCAGACAAATCCACAAATAAGTGAACTCCATCCACCGTCTAATTTAGCCAATCAGATAACAGTCGCATTACACTGACCAATCGTAGCAAGTTCTCGCTACAAACAATCAGTTTGGCTTTACACTAGGACCGGGAACAGATTCATTTTGTACCCCTGAAATGAACTGTATTCTATGGACGCTTCGTTCAAACTGAGCTGAAAACACCCGTTTCCAAAATATTATTGGAGTTTAGGGCTTTTATATTTTTCCATCAGGATCAGTAAATCAGGATAAACTCAGGCTTATACACAAATTATGATCATTCACAGATCCTGAGCATCATGATCAGTAACACCCTCTCTACACCAGACGCAAGCAGCGTGACACGATGATTCATCAATAGTAAACGGATGTAATGTGCTGTTATCCAGCCCCTCCATAACCATGAGTTTTTCTTTAGTGTAAATATTGAGGATGCCGTCAATTACAAATGAATTTGAGCCCGATTCAGACTCTGACAATGTTATTTGTTTGTTTGTTTATTTGGATCCCCATTAGCCAAAACGAAAAATATAAAACTATATTAATCAACAACAATAAAAGTTGAACAAGTTGTTGAGGAACAATAGGACTGTGCAGAACGGATTTCATGATGATCAGACTTTGCAAGCACAGATTTCATTGGATGTTTCAGAGTGGTGTTTTTTGTAATTTTCATATACATTATAGATACGGTGTTATCCACCATTTAATCGTGATTTATCAGAAAACTAAGGTAATACAAACAGTAATCGATCACACAACCATGGTTAATTTTCCTTAAGGAGCGGTGAACCATCTTGAAAAAGCGAGAGCTTACAAAATCAACAGAAAACAAGCTGTTCTCCATAAAATGTACAGCACATGTTGGGGTTATAATGTTCAGGAACAGTGTTTCACAAGTTCACACTTACATATAATTAAATAGAGTAAAGGTTATGCGTATTTGTCGTGCTGTCCGGGGCAAGTGTACTCACTACATAGTCAAACAAGTATAGGTCTCTACAGGACAGTAATAGGAGACCAGATCAGTGGGCGAGGCCATAAACAGAGGGGCGTTTTCGACCGCGTTACCTGATTTGCCCACATCACAGTGAGGGTAGGGTTTAGGGGTGGGGTCGGGTCTAGGGCATTTTCATTGCATGATTTATAAACACCCACCAGTTTTAAAACAGCCACAAATTTAGAAACGCCCACTTTTGTTCCACAGAGACCCCATACTCTAGTCAAATGACATGACGACCAGCTCCTCCTCTCTGGAGCTCTAAGGGGGTGGAGGGATAGAGTTGTGTCAAAGCCCGTCTACGGAAAGCCTTGGCACTTCCTATTAGCCCCATTGTGTATCATCTTGGTTGCAGTTCCATTAGAATTCCACTGGAGGTGATCGCGGGCGAGTGCAGAATAAATGGGAGTCTATGGAGCTAGACGGCTAAATGTATCTCTTTCTCCTGCTTGTCGTTGAATCAAAATAGATTTTATTGTTGATTCCACAAGTTCAATATAGATTATAGACCAAAAGTCAAATAAATGAGTAGTTATGTCCTTTCGATTTCTTACAGGTTGGGCCGTTGTTGGCCGGAACACGCTAGCATTCTGCTATTATGTGACGTCATCACATTTTTGAACGGATTTTTAGAACAGATAAGTGAACTTAAAAATGCAGTTTTCAGCTGAGTGTATTATCTTAGTCCCCCCTTTTGAATGCAACTTTCAAATTACTTGACAAAAAATTACATCCTGAGAAAAGTGGATTTCTGGGGGTGAAACCAAGGGGGTAATCCATCAGCCGGAAGTTGAAGCTGCCTCCGGGGGCCGCCATTGTAGCTGGCTATCACCTGCTGTTAGCATCCCATTGACTCCCATTCATTTTGGCGTCACTTTGACAGCGAATAACTTTACATCTGAGGCGTCCAAAGACTCCATTTGTCCATTATTTATTTCTAAAGAAACACGACAATGTATAAAATGCTCCATTACCTTGTATCTTACAAGGTAATGACCCCGTAGAAGCCATTCTTGTAAAAATAGGCTAACGATTGCGTCATAACCACGGGACGCTCTGTCGCACAGTAGAGAAATTACCGTATAGACAGAAGTAGAAGCTCTTAGGCAATCGTTTACTGTCTATGAGGCAATCGGTGGACATGGAGGCATAAAGTCAAGGGAGAAGCCCATAGATAGAGAGTTCATAAAAGCAACGGGACAAAATATTTCAACAACAGATTTGTTTCAGATTTCAATTCAGATTTGGCCCGGTGCAGCTACTAGAAGGTCAGAACGGTTGCTCACGTGACAACTACGTCGTCAAGCTCAGTTTGAGCCTGCGCAGTGCGCTTGGCTATCAGGAAGTGAGTGCCCATGTTGGGCTTCAACTCTCTCCGTTGAAATCAACGGGGTCACTGTGTCCATTTCTTTTACTGTCTATGGGTGAAACCCCAGAGACTCCCATTCATTCTGCACTCGCCCGCGAGCGCCCCCGCATGGACAGAGACGTGTTACTGCAGCCAGTACAGAAACCGGAAGTAACCAGAGAGTGCCAGTTCTCTCCTATGGGCTATATGCACGCATAACTTCCGCGTTTGACGCAAGGATGCTCTTGCGTTTCCGGTTGGGGAGATTTAAAGCAGAGGAAAACGGGATTATGGCAGAGTCTTCAAAATTTACTGTCCTCTCGTCTTTGAAACGAAACTTTAATACGTTTAGATGTAATTTTATATATAGTTATGTTTATTTAATATAATAAACACAGAAGCATAAACAAAATGAGGGGTGTCTGTTTTTGTGACTAACGTTTCTTTAGTATAGCAATAGAGTATAAAAACCAATATAAATTCTCGGTATAGCATTGGACTCTACGATCGGCGGAAGTAATCCAGCATCCTTAGACCTTCACCGGAAATACCGCCGTGCATAGAGCCCATTAGACATTCTCTGGTTGTGTGTAGGGTTAGGGTGTGGTTGGATATGCTAGCTCCATCCAATAGGCCCAAATTACTTTGCTCCTCCTCACTGGAGCTCTAGCAAGGAGGAGCTACACGTATGCACCACCCATTTCCTCTGCAGTGAGCAGCTCCGAGCTCGGAATTTGGCCCGAACCCAGAGTAGCCTACTCATTACTTAAATGAGTACCTACCATTGTGACTTTGTAAGATCTGGAAAAATCATGTTGTAACGTTAGTCCAAATGAGCCGTTCACAGTAGCCTAGTTCTTGAAAAGGAGGTTCTGTTAAGTAAAATATGGAGTGGACTTTGAGCTTTGTAACTTTACAGGTCTTTTTTATGCTCAAACAGCAATTACACACTTAAGTTGAAAAAGCATAGGACCCCTTTAAGAGACCGTTTTAGGCTACTTACCATCCAGAAAGTCCATTCGGGAAAAACAGTCGGCAATATTTGAGGAGGATGTGAGATCAGCAGGACCAAACAGGTCACGTGCTGCGTTTGTCCAATCAAGGACACCGACACTGCAGTGCAAATATGCAAATACCAAAGTTAACCCGGGGTTTGGGTATATACGTCAGTTTATGAATATCCAGTATGATTGTTTACCTCTAGTAAATTTCGAGCAGTGTGAAACGTGAATCAAGATAACATTGCATTTGCCCGGTGTGTGTGTGTATCCTGCTGCTTCCAGAGATTTGTTTGCTTGTTGTTTCAGTGCTCCCACTGGTTACTATGGAGAGCAGTAACACAAACACAAACTCAGTCCTGACAACAGCCTTGCCTTGTGGTGGCTAACGAATAGATTTTAATAGTATAATTATGCCTAAATCAGTGGTAACAGTGCGGTACGGTCCATATGAGTCGTGTGGTATTGTAGAGCACAAAACATTTCGCCTGGACGGTTTACAAGGTAATCCTTGGGTGTGTCAAAAGCTTTAAATACGTTTTATTAATTTTGTTAGCATTTTTAAAAAACGGATACCGAGTTAACCGCTTGTAGTAACAATATACTATTGTAATCTGGCGGAATCTATGGTTACTTATTTGCTTTCCCCCTAGCTGTCCTAAAAGACGACGGCCACCAGTGTGTCCTCGAGAAAACAGATGACTGGAATATATTAGAGCTCATTGTCAATGGAGAGTGCGTCTACACTTGCAACATTACTGATCTTCAGTTTGGTAAATTGCGCCAGCATTTGGAAACCTCTGCTTTCTGGAAGATCACAGATGCGATGCTCAAAGTGTTTTTTAAAAACTCATCTTTGCTCATAGGGGGTGATGGACGACTTGATCCGCGGTGCCTGGAGGCCATTGATGCCGTGAGGAACGCGTATTGAATGACACGCCAAGTACTGCTGTGCTGTATGCAAAAAAAAAAAGGATATTAGCATATTGTGTACAAGTTGTATACTATTCAAAACATAGCCAGTCTTAAAATCTAGTGAGCCATGTAGACATTACCATTTTTTGGCATGCATGTTATGTATGGAAGTAAAATAATGTCAAATGTTTTTGAAATAAAAAGCCTGTTGAATTGCTTGACATTAAAAAAATTGGCTTGACATTGGACATTCGCACATTTAGGGACCGTCTCTAAAGTTGCATACAACGTTTATAACTTCAATAGCAAACTTAAATTTATTTGAATAAATATCAAAAATCCAAAGAGTGCGCATTATGCCTGACACTACATGAACACTTACAGTTGGTTTTATGACTGTAAGTCGTTCTATTCAAATGCTATTGAAGTTAGAAACGTGTATACCAAAGTCGTATACACTTTAGAGACGGTCCCTAAATGTGCGAATGTCCAACATCAAGCCAGTCTATATGCCAGTCTCACTGGAAACGCTTAGTTGTGCGCGTTGTTCTGAGTCCTTCTGCTTGCCTGTGAGTTTGGACTTTTACATCACTAGTCCATTAAGCTACGTTAAGCGTATATGTCCAGCAGGGGAATCCTGAAGTATTGAGGGAAACCCTAATAGCCTGCATGCAGCACATCGCCAATATAAAGTTAAGGCAACTAAACAACCAAGAGAATATATGTCAACCTCAAAAATGTAACATTGGATCTGTATATCCGCATCGGGGAATAAAATTATGATCTCGTTCACGGTAGAGAAATATGCATGTAGGCTACACAGGAAAAGTAACCGTGAAGGCACCGAATTTAACAAAAACAGCCGTCATAATAATCACAAATAAACTTACATTGCTGTAAATGAGTTTTATGAATGAATGACTTGCTCTAATTTTGCTGGTCTTCGTCAACAACACGCGCTTGCACCTCCTGCTGGTGAGATCGACTAACAGCAGATGGAGAGTATGCTCGGCAATCTTCTGCTTTTCCTGCAGTTCCTGGACGTCAATGTTGAATTTACTGTCGAATTTGAACCACTGAATTTGTGGAAGCGAATTTGCAAAGCGAAATAAAATCGCCCGAAAATTGCCTGTTGAATATTATTGGTTGTATTTTTAAACAGTTTGAATATTTTGGAAATGAAATATGAATGGTGAATATGGATTATTGAATTTTTTTAATAATGAAAATGTGTTTGAAATGTTTTTAATTGAAATATTCACAGCTTAAATATTCAACCATGTTGAATTTCAGCCCATAAAAATGCAAGCCCTAAAAATACAATGCATAAAAATGCAAGCATGGTTAATGCAATGCCTATTTTTTTTTCAAGTAGTGCAATTCAACAGGCTTTTTATTTCAAAAACATTTGACATTATTTTACTTCCATAGTTATGAGTCCACTAATGGTGTCCTGCTGTATAAAGGTAGCACACTGCCTGTGGAGAGACCTCGTATGTATGTGCACACAGGTATATGATAAATGATAAAAACCATCCAAAAGCATCAATCGTTTGTCAATGACACGCAGTTTATTGCATTATTGCTGTGAAACGTCTATCATTCATCACAATCTATCACAGTGAATTAAATGTATGATCTTTTTCCCCTATGAGCAATGTCCGGTATCTATAGTATACTAAAAACCAATTTTTGTACCCTTTAAACATTTGCATTAAATTCACTTTTGCAAGTGTCTATCACATGAATTACCCACAGCACAGATTCAAGTAAAATCCAGTTTACAGCTGTTTTGTCCAGCTTGAGTGACAAGGTTTAACTGTTTATGCAGCCATAGAATGAACATTAGTGTATGACCATGTACAAGTTTTAGTATAGCTAAATTACACTACAAAAGCAGTTTGCGGACAGTAAGATTACACAGAAAAACAATGCATCAGATACTTGTGCTTATTTGATTTAAGTAATTGTTTTATTTACCTCCTTATATTTGTTTCCCAGTGTGTATAGCATTTCAAAGTTGTCACAGACATGTTGACGTTATAAATGTCCTCATTCCCATAAGTCTTCAACACCACAAGAACCCTAAAGTCTAAAAAGGAAGCATATTTTGTGGAAGCTACAGAGAATATTGTTACTTGTCTACATGCCATCTGTTTGATGTCTCAGGATGAAGCCAAGTGTGACAGTTATGGAAGACAAAAAAATAAATAAGAATACAGATTACTTAAGACGGATAAATGATTTCTGCTCCAAATCTACAGCTAAATCTACAGAATGAGTACACTAATTTCTTTATATTTGTTGTCTTGTGCTCTATTTTTCAATATAATTCAACAATTTTACATAATTTGGCAACATGAAAATCACTTTATCTAATAAATTGTGCGTTGATACCAGTTATATTTAATTTTAAAGGCTAATTTCCACAACAGCATCAAAAACTCCTGCCCTTGAATGCCTCAAGGTTAAACGCAGTGTCCAAGAACCTCTTCAGCTCAGCCAGATGAGTGAATTTGTTTCCTGTGGCAGGGGCTGCAGCAGGGTCACGGCCAACATACCTAAAAGTGAGTGTGAATATTTTTAATTTGGTGCGTAAAAGTTTGTTTAGGCTACACCAAACATTTAGCTTAAAAAGAGACTCACCATATTGGATTCTTATGGTGCGCTGTGAGGAAACGTGGCCTTACGTAGTCATAGTAGCCCATGTTCTTGTGCTCCTCTTGACACCATATGAGTTCAGCGTTGCTGTACTTCTCAACCTCAGCCTTGATGAGGTCAAAAGGGAATGGTGATATCTAAGAGGAAAGAATGTATTTGATTGTGAATAAAGGAATTTTTGCAATGCCATTTTACTTATAATCAAGAGACTATAATGGCAACCTGCTCCAATCTGACAATTGCAACGTCCTCCTCCAACTGAAGCTGTTTTCTTTCTTTTGCCAGCTCATAGTACACTTTTCCAGTGCAGAAGATGACCCTTTTGACTTTTTCTGGGTTTTCCGATGCAGGACTGTTATCTGGAATTATCCTTAAGAAATTTGTCCCTATTATATGAATAAATTGAGATACAGCCACATGTTAAACACTAAAAGCTGGACAAAGCATAAAGAGCTTGATTCAATGTTTCTGTACCAGAATTTTGTACCTGTGATCATCTCATCAAAACTGGAACGGGCCTCTGGCAGCCTCAGTAAAGACTTTGGTGTGAAAATGATCAGCTGAATAAAAATATGAAAACGTGGTCAGTCAAATTAAGGCAAACTGTACTTGATTCATTGCATTTAGGAACTTTTGAAACTTCAATCTAGACTGGGGAATACAAAAATAGTAATGTAACACAGCTGTGAAATCAAGCAAAACAGTAAATTAAGAGCAGTTTCATACAAAACAAACAATATCATCCCCAGACGCTCTCAGTTTAATTTACTCAGGAAGAGATTTTCTCATGCTCCACAAACCTCTGCATTTCTCCACAACAGGGAATCACTTTAGACAATTGCAGTGGCACAGAAGCAAAAGAGGGTTGGGGGCGGGGCATACATTAAACTTTCACATTAAAGTTAAGGCTTAAGTCAATAAAGTCCATCTACCATCACATCAGCTGTGCCTGTGACATTAATATAATAGCTCAAGTCTATCTAAATCTATAATACCAAATGTGCATTCTAATAAATCATAAACATAGCCTATGTATTAGAGGTGAACGATTAATCGTTAAAAGATTGCTATCTCGATTCAAACACCCACGCGATCTAATTCCTAATTGACAACCATTCGCCTGTTTCTATTAAACCTTCGACAAAATCACACCGGAACATTCAAATCTGTGTTCGTGCAGACGCTGAGGCAGACAGAGCAGTTATCGTACAGTATAGGTATGAAACAGCTTCACAAACAGTCTTTTTAACCACAAAGTTTTGTTATTTCTATTAATTACAAATATTCATATTGTCTGGAATAAAAGTTTATAGTTCTGATATAAACACTGATGTCAACGGTAGCAAATAGAGCAAATCACCTTTTGAAAACATGGCACTTCAAATAACGATTGTATCGATTACATTGTTACACCAGTAGGTGGCGATGAAACAATTGCAGCATTATTAGTGAGTCATTGAATCATTTATTCAAACCGTTTTTTCAAGGTCCCGTTTTTCACGATTCCATTTTTCAAACTTTAGTTAGTGTGTAATGTTGCTATTAGAGCATAAATAATACCTGTAAAATTATAAATCTCAAAGTTCAATGCCTAGCGAGATATTTTATTTAACAGAAGTCCCCTTTTAAAGCATACAGCGAACGGCCGGTTTGGACTACATCCCTTTACTTCCTTTTTTAATGACGTAACTAGAACAGTTTTTTGACTAATCTCCGCCCACAGGAATACACAAAAAAGGGGGTGTGGTCTTGTTGCGCTCCCACGGAGAAGAAGCACTTCAGCAGCGCATGCATCTCCAATTTATGGTAAGAGGCATGACCTTTCCGGGCAACGTGCGATAAGCTGCTGTCGAATCACAACACAGGAACCGCTGGCACAATCAGAACTCGTTACGTATTTCTGAAGGAGGGACTTCATAGAACAAGGAAGTCATCAGGCCGTTTTTTGGACAGTGAAAACAGCGGTATACAGATAAGTAAATTGTGTGAAAAATACTGTGTTTTTTTACACGCGAAACATGAACACATGTTATATTGCACACTGTAAACACAATCAAAGCTTCAAAAAAACATGAAGAACGGCACCTTTAAACTAATTCATTCAGATTAATTAAACATTGTATATTGACAGAACAATGAATCCACAAAATACACTAAAAAATAATATTGTACATGCTATACTGACACATAGAAAGGAAAAAGGTTGGTCTTACTGGCTTCCTAAATGGTAATAAGATCTGCCTTCTAAGCACATGGAAGTAGCTAGCAGGTGTTGAACAATTGACCACGATCCAGTTACAGTCATAGAGCTGCTGGACCTCAAAGTCTCCAGTGAATTCCTTAAAAGAAGTAAATAAAACACAGCTC